CAACCAACTCCCAATTGCAACGATAATCAAGAACTTCGAAGTGAATGATTCGAAGGCTGAAAATGACCTGGGAAATGAGGGAGGATCCGTCAAATCCATTCTCAACATATGGTTAGTGCTTTTGTGTTTTCTTTATTTTGTGTTGTTCGATAATGCTTGGACTGTTTGAAAATGGTTGGAGTGTTAGAAAATGTTGGGGGACCTGAAATTGTTTGTAGTTTGTAATTTTGGATCTATATTTTCTATTTTTAAATTACTTTGTTCGAAAATGGTGGGGAACTAAAAATTGTTTGGTGTTGTCGGTTATGAGGACTTTTGTCTTTATTTAATCTTGTTGGAAAAAAGCTTGTGGGTTATGTATGTTTGGCAATGCTTTGTTTATACTTTTATCTATGCCTTTTGTGTATGATGCTTTATTTATGCCTTTAGTTGTGCCTTTATCCGGGACACCACATTGTCATTTGTGGTGTGCCTTTATCTGTGAATTGTTTTGTGGTCATGGGTCCTGAATTTTAGGTTTCATCACTTTAAAATAGGAATTTTTTATGCAGAAATTTGGGTTTCATCATTTTATAATGGGGTTTTTTATGCTGCAATTTCAAGGAACAATGAACTATTCATAATCAAAATGTATCACAGCGGACAACTCAATGAAGACTTCTATGTTGGGGGGAAGGTGGATTTCTTTGACTTATGTGACAAAGATTTCATTTCACTGCTCAAGGTTGATAATATGGTTGAGGAACTGGGATATGGAAATGTTTTCATGAGTTACCAGTATAGGATCCTAGGGATGGAAATTCGAAATGGGTTGAAGCTTTCGATGACAGATTCCGATGTTATCAACATGTGAAAATTTGTGCCAAACCACAATGTGATTGATGTGTATATTGAGAAGATAACACCTGAATAATGTGTCTCTTAAGAAATGAAGTTTATCAAGTCATTTAAACCGGTTGCTCAAAGTAATGTGGTTATTGAAGAAATTGATGGTGATAAGGATGACCAGTGCTAGTTGATAGAGGGAAGGCCAGTGCAAGTGAATAGAGGAAGGGCCAAGCTAGCCATAGAATATCCAGTCAGTGGCCTTGGTGGTGAATGTAGTGTGCCTTCCTAATGTGTGACTCAAACTGTTGAAGGAGCTGTTAAAGATCCACTAAGTGGGGTTGCTAATGAAGTAGTTGGTGATAGAGTAGTGGGTGAATGAGTGCCTAATGAAAGTGTGGCTGATGAATGAGTGGTTGATTAAGGGGTGGAGGATGAATGAGTGGTTAATGTAGGTGATGAAGGAGCTGAATAAGAAGATGAGAATGACAATGACTTCGTAGAAGAAGAATTTCCTGCTGATGAAGATCACTTAGTGTTTATGAAGTTTGTAGATGATCATATGGATGCACATGAGGATGCAGTGTTAGCTGGCATTAGGAAACAAAATAACCCACAATTAAGGGATGGATCTCGAACAAATGGAAGGATTTAAAAAAAAGATTGATGTAGATGTTGTTGGTGAGCCGGATTACATTTCGGATGGCCTTCATAGTGTGTGTGAAGATGAAAACGGTGGTTGAAGCGACAATGAGCATTATCCTTAGTTTAATGAGAAGACTGACATGAAGAACCCACACTTGTCATTGGGGTTAATATTTAAGGATGGTGCACGGTTCATAAATGTAGTAGTTATGCACTCTATGATAAATAGGTATGGGGATGTCCACTTTTCACAAAACGAAAGTTCAAGGTTGATGCATCTTGCAAAGAAGGTTATCTATGGTTTGTCAAGTGTGGGAAGATGTGCAATTCAAACAACATGCATATAAAGAAGATTTTGGATCATCACGCATGTGGTAGATTATGGATGAATAGGAATATGAAACAGTTTTGGCTTACTAAGCATTACTTGGAAAAGATCCAACTTAATCCAACATGGCATGTTGAGTCTTTTATGGACACCATTGAAGCTGAATGGAAACACGGTTGCTCAAAAATGAAAGCATATAGGGCTATGATTGCTGCTATAAAGATTATTGAGGGTAAACATGTTGAGCAATACACAAGATTGTGGGATTTTGCTGAGGAAATTAATAAGACAAACCCGGGGAGCACTGTGAAGATTAAGTTGGATGAAGGAATGTTTCAAATGATGTATGTGTGTTTGGGTGCATGCAAGGAAGGTTTCAAGCATGGTTGCAGACCCTTGATTGGTTTAGATGGTTGTCATTTGAAGTCTCAGCATGGGGGCAATTGTTGGTTGTTGTGGGGATATGTTACACCCCACCCCGTTTTTAAAATATTTTTTGTCTTAATTGATGAGCCCAATGGGCCCACCCCTTTATTTGTGTCCCCGATTCCCTTTCCTTCTCCTTTCTCTATTCTCTCATTCTTTCCAAGCTCCATCTGTCTCTTTCTCCCTATCCCTTATCTATCTCTCTCGACAACTCTCTCTGTTCCTCTCCGATGCAACCCCCCCCACACATACACACACTCATCCTCACACCCAACTGGCCACGACGCACCACCCATCACCATCACTCGGACCTTCATTCTCTCCCTCACATCTCCGATCTATCTTTGGCACTATGCACAGTCACTATGCAAGTGTTTCCAATGAAGGTAAGTTGAACCACTCTTCCATCTTTCTCCCTCGTAGTCTAGAAGGCTTAGTGGTTACTAAAAAGTGGTTTTTGGTGAAGGTTTAAACGTGAAAACTGCTCGATGAGCGTTCTCCATATTTTTCGGCGAGCACCGTCCCTTTCGAGGCAATTTTCGGCTAAACCATGGCAGTTAGGTGTCATGCAAGGTACAATTCTCTTTGTCTCTTCGAGAACTATGATTTTCGTTTTTGAATCACTCGATTTCGTTAAGTATTGACAAAGTTATGAGCGTTTAAAGTTTGTTTATTTCGTTGAGTATTGATAAAGTTATAAGCATTTAAAGTTTGTCTAATTTCCGGCCAAATTCCGTCCTTCTTCTTCTTGAGGTCCGATGACCCACCAAACCCAGGCCCTTCGGGCCGTTCCTGCCAAGCCCAAAACCTTGGGCAGCCCAACCCAACCCGTTTATTTCTAATTATTTGTTAATTTAAAGGCCTTTGGGCCGGATCACTAAGCCCAAGCCCATTTCTTTTTAGTTTTGTTTTATTTTTATTCCTATTAGTTGGGGCCCTAAGCTCAAATTCGAAACCCTTAAAACCCTAAGCCTTTTTTCCCCTAAACCAAACCCAAATCCTTTTACTTATTTTTTTTATATTATTTGTTTGAAACTAAACGCAAACTCTTAAAGCCCAAACATTTTTAAAAGCTTAACCCAAACCCCTTAGCCCTTAGCCTAAACCCATTAACCCATTATTCTAGAACCTAACCCTAACCCAAGTCCTAAACCCTAAACCCTAACTGACCCAAATCCTTTATGTGGAATATTCCGTTAAGGAATATTCAATTAGAAAATTTTCCGTCAGGGAATATTCTATGGACATTTACAAAATTTATCCGGGATCTTTCTTAGGGTAATTCGACGTCCTGAATCCATTTATGAACTCCGTTTTCCTAAATTCAATCATTTGAGTAGAGTTTTATTAGTGGACCCTTTATGTGCTTAGGGGTAATTATTGTGGCGTTTCCATATTCGTTAGTTTGCGTGGCTCTTCTGTAACATCCCACATCGCCCAGGAGAGTAATCTTTAAATGTATATTCCCATCCCTACCTAGCACGAGGCCTTTTGGGAGCTCACTGGCTTCGGGTTCCATTGGAACTCCGAAGTTAAGCGAGAAGGTGGCCAGAGCACTCCTATGATGGGTGACCCACTGGGAAGTTGCTTGTGAGTTCCCAGAAACAAAACCGTGAGGGCATGGTCGGGGCCCAAGTTTGGGAGCTCACTGGTTTCGGGTTCCGTCGGAACTTTGAAGTTAAGCGAGAAGGGGGCTAGAGCACTCCCATGATGGGTGACCCATTAGAAAGTTGCTCGTGAGTTCCCAAAAACAAAACTGTGAGGGAATGGTAAGCCCAAAGCAGACAATATCGTGCTACGGTGGTGGAACGGGCCCAGGATTTGGTAGACCCGGGTCGGGATATGACATCTTCTGCGGTGAAGTATCTGTGAGTGGACCCCTTTTAAAAATGCATGTTTTAATAATAGAAATGTATACATGAAAAGCATGCTTTGATGATTACGTTTTATGAAACGCTTTGAGATAACATGCTTACTGATGCTAGTTTAAATTATTACTATTTTTCCTATAACCCTTCTTATAGAATATCTGATGGATGACGATATGATATTTAGAACATGCTTCGAACACCTTTTTATAGTATAGATGATGGATGACTTTATACTATGAAGTTGTTTTTCAATATATATATATATATATATATATATATATATATATACATATATGTTCAATGGTTTTATACTTACGTAGTGGTCCTTTCTGCTACGGGACGTAAGGATAGATTTCGGTTGTCCCGGACGACGGTTTGGTGTTGGTATAGGGCCTGTAGTGTGTTTCCTCTGGCTATTAGCACAGGGACGGGGAGCCGGCATGGGGCGTGGAATGTATTTTCCTCTGACTGTCTGCTCAGAGACGGGGAGCCGACATGGGGCCTGGGGGTTATTGGACAATTCACTAGTGATTATTATATACAAGTTATGATTTAAGACATTGCACGACATGCTAGGTTTCGGAAAACCTACGTTTATCATGATATATGTGTTTTCATAAAACCTAGGGGTTAGTACGTTGATAACTGTTTTACTATATATATCTATCAACTTGGTCCACTCATGTTTGTTTTGCGCCCCATTTAGGACTTAGAATCGAGACAAACAATCCCGGCGTCAAGGTCTTGGTGTATGACCTATTCTTTTGTTCATTCAATTTTATATTATTTCTTTTAGTATTCTAGTTAGTTGTATGCTCTGAACATGTTCCTTAAATGCATATTCATTATTCTTTTATATTTATAAGTCTTATTTATTCCTTATTCTCAGCATTTGCATTCAATAAATGGCTTTTGTCACCCTCGGGTGTCGGCCAACACGTGTTTATCCTAGTATTCGGGGAATATCAGGATCAGAGCGTGTCAAGATAGATCCCAATGCTGAAACTTGGGTGATAGCTTATGTAGTTATCAAGATGGAGAACAAAGATTCCTGGATTTGGTTCTTGGAGATTCTGGTTGAGGATATTGGGATTATAAATCAACATGGTTGGATATTCATTAGTGATAAGCAGAAGGGTTTAATTCTTGCATTCTTGGTGGTTTTTCCTGATTGTCACCATAGGTTTTGTGTGCGGCATTTGTACATAAATTATAGAGAACAGTTTAAGGGTAAGGCATTGAAGGATGATTTATGGGTTGTTGCCAAGACCACTACAATTCCATACTTTAGAAGAGCCATGGAAGAGCTTAGATTGTTGAACGAAGATGCATATGATTGGCTCATGAAGATACCTGTCATTAACTGGAGTTGGTCTAATTTTCAAATGCATACCAAGTGTTAAATGTTGCTGAACAACTTGTGTGAAAGTTTCAATACCGTGATCGTGATGGCAAGGTCCAAGCCAATTGTAACCATGCTTCAGATCATTCATATCATGTTGATGAAAATGATTCAAATCAAATGAGAAGAGATAGTATGATGAGACAACCTGAAGATTTGTGCCCTAAGATTAAGAAGAAGTTGGAGGATGAAAAAATGGATAATGGTCGATTTATTGCTCAATGGTCTGGTGGGACTAAATTCCAAGTGGAAGCTGAAGGAGGTGACCAATATGTTGTTGACTTGACTGAATATACATGTTCATGTCGAAGATATGACCTCACCGGTATTCCATGCAACCATGCCATTGCTACCATTAATTATAAGAGGGAGAAGCCAGAAAACTATATGGATGTTTGTTATTCCAAGGTCATGTACTTGGAAATATATGGACACTTAATTTAGCCAATGAATGGAATGTCAATGTAGGAGATCACTGAAAATCCACCTATCCAGCCTCTTCTATATACTAGACAACCTGGAAGACCCAAGAAGAAGAGAAACAACGAGGCTATAGAAATGGAGAAACAAGCAAATCCTAGACAAAGTGAAGCCACTAACAGAAGTGGAGATATTCCACAACCACAATAGCTCTCAAGGAAAAACCTTTAATCTTGTATCTTCCTCTTGTCTTGTCTTGTATAGAGATATTCCACAGCCACTAACAGAAGTGGAGATATTTCACCTCTTGTCTTGTATCTTCCTACAAGACAAGAGGTGAAATATAACCTTTTACAAAGTTATATGATTTCTAAGTTGATTTAAGACTTTATTACTCCAAAAATCCTTTAATTTGTTTTAGGCATCAAGTTCTGCACATGGAGCATATAGTAATCCAGGTGGTGTACCAAGGAAAAGGGGAACGAAATCCAAGATAAGTATTGTTTCACTTGTTTTATTAATGAACTTGTGGCCTGTATTGTGATAACTTAGGGATTCTTTTGTATTCATTAGATGTGGATATTCTTTTGTGATAACTTGTGGCCTATATTGTTGTTGATTTGGATATTATTGTACTAAACATTGGATGTAGGCATCAAGCACAGTTGGAGGAGGTAATTCAGAGGTTCAAACAGATGGAAGAGTGAAGAAGAGAAAGACAAGGTTCTTTCACTTGTTTTATTAATGAACTTGTGGCCTATATTGTGATAACTTAGGGATTCTTTTGTATGCATTAGATGTGGATATTCTTTTGTGATAACTTATGGCCTATATTGTTGTTGATTTGGATATTGTTGTACTGAACATTGGATGTAGGCATCAAGCATAGTTGGATGAGGTAATTTAGAGGTTCAAACAAATTGAGGAGTGAAGAAGAGAAAGACAAGGCAACCAAGAAAGTGAAAAGCGTTGCCATACAAGAACAAATTGGCTTTTTTGATGTTGGAATTTTTGCTAGTGGCTTGAATTTTTTGTGAATGTTGGCAACAGCTAGGAACTATTTTTTTGCTTAGTTAGGAACTGTTATTTTGCTCCCAATTGGATTTGTAGCTTATTAGGAACTGTTATTTTGATAGTGGTTGGATATCCTTTTGGGAACATGCTAGCTTGTTAGGTTAGGAATTGTTATTTCCAGTTGAACTCCTAGATGTTAGCTTTAGTTGCCAATATATGGAGCATGCTTGTTATTTTCAATTGAACTCTTGTGAAATATATTGCTAATTTAGTTGCCTATTTGGATATTGGAATGCATTTTTGCCTATTCACTGATTACCAGGTTCAATTATGTGGGAATATGCATTTCTACATTTTGGATTGCATTTGATGCAATTGTTCATAATTTAGCCGCCAAAACCCATAAAGAAATAGGAATTAAAAAAAAATTGGCAGGAAAATTTGAAAATTTGAAAATTGAAATTTTGGCCATGTGGCACTTTTTGCTGAGTTTGCATGACGTGGCAGATGGATACCACGTGTGCAAGTTTTGGAGGGAGTGGGCTGACGTGTAATGGGGTCCACTATTGTCACGTCAGCTCTTAACGAACCAATTGATGAAAAATGTAACAGACGTATTATATTGAAATAAAATAGTAGGTGATGTATGAAAGTGAAATTTTTTGAAGATGTTGTATGAGGTTGCAATAAATCTCAAACCTAAGGTGGTAAACTGTAATTTACCCTATTATTTATTATGTGGTTGTTCATTTTTAAGTCAATATACATTATATAATTAGTTGAGACATATTTTCTATATAAATCCCAACACATTTTCTATATAATTTCTCCTTCAATCCCTCTCTCAGATTCTCTTTATTCTCTTTTGATCTCTTTTACTCTCTACTTTATTTTCAACGTTATGAAAATAATGACCTTTTTACACATTCAAAAAATAAAACATAATCTCTATTAATTAACGAAACCCGCTTTGTCAACCAAAAGAGGGTGAAAAGACAACTTAATCTTCTATCACACAAAAAAAATGATGGGCAATAATGTAATTTCACAGGTTCAAATTGTACTACTTTTTATTGAAGCCTCACCTATAGATGATGTTAAAATATTTCTAATATTTAAAATTAAAAATATAAAAAAAACCAAAAACAAAAACCTCTCATCCAACCTCCCCATATCTCTCTCCCTTTCTCCTTCTCATTTTCTAAAAAAATGTGTTCATACACATAAAATGTGTAGGCAAATGCTAGTGAGGAATAAACGGAGCAGGCAATTGCTTGGCCACCAAGTCATTAATTAGTTTCTATCTTAAAAACCAAATACATGCCCACTCGTTGTTATCACGAAAATGGAGAAAATTATGTCAGTCTACCACATTCCACATCTCACAAGAACAAGATCCATGGCGGCTCCGAATTATACAGCTCTTGCTCCTCCTCCACAGCTCCAACCACCATTAGCGGTTGCGAATTTCAAGAACGAGAGAGCCATTTCTAGAGCCACAGCGAAGACAAGAATCAACATGAGACCCCCAAATTCGATCCATATGAGGGGTTTGAGTACTACCAGTGATCAGATTCCGAACAAGGATTCACCCGTCGCACCTTCCGCTGGTAGCCCCTGCCATGATCTCTTTTACAAGGTTGTCAAACCATACAAGTACCAATACCGAACAAAGAAAAACCCAGAGGCAGAGGCCGAGGTGGACGCCTCGTGTGCATATCTGAAGCAACCGCTGCCGCTGGCTTGGTCCCATGATCCCTTGACCACCCTCAAGCTCATTGCTAACCTACTACACGGCAGATTCTTCTGGGAAGCGTACTACACGGCGGTGTATTGGCTCCACCACAACCACCCCAAGACCCTATTGTGCTACGCAACGTTTGCCAAGTCGACAGGGAAGTTGTATGGACTTCCGGAGATTCCGTACCGCCTTCTAGAAGATCAAGACGGGATTATAAGTTGAGAGGTACAAGCGTGACCCGGATTATAAGTTGTTAAACGACCAGGTCACGGATGTGTATGCAGAGTGCTTGAAGTCTGATCTTGAAATATTGAAGAAGCAAAATCTTAAGCGTGAATATTATGGTGGTTATTTTGATGATAGTGATGATGACGAAGATGATGGTAACTGTGAGAAGATAAGCGATGTTGCAAACAGTTGCCGTTCCAACCGCCCCAATAGCGCGGTCCCAATCCGCACCACTTTTATGCTTGAAAACATTGCAAAGAAGGTTTTCCCTGAAGGAAACATATCCAGAATACCAAGGTGTTAAGGAGGACCATTACACGGGAAGAGTCACCGACCGGCTTTGGAAGGAGTTTTTGGAGCCCTTGGACAAGTACAACCGCTCTACTCGCACCCATATGGGATTTGGAAGGATGCCCCTTAATGTTGAAAAGTATTTGGAGGAGGTGAAAGCCGACAAGTCCAAGATTGCGGCCAATGCTTTACTTCCAGGTCCTACGCTATGTGAAACATTCGAATTTAAGGCAAGCGGCTGAGCTTCATTGGAAGGCGATGGTGGAGGACATCTACTTAAAGCAAGGCAAATTCAAAAACTGCTTGGTTGTATTTGACCCTGGCAAGACACGCATAAGGGGGCTCAAGGAGGATGTGTCATCTGCATTGGGAATTTTGGTGGCTGAATTGAGTGAAGAGCCTTGGAAAGGAAAAGTTATCAGTTTCAGTAAGTTGCCAGAGCTGCATCGGATACAAGGGGATGATTTTAGGTACAAGTGCGAGTTTGTTAAAAGGATGGACAGAAACCGTGCGTGCAAGTGCGATTTTGTTAAAAGGATGGACAGCAACTGCTCGACTGATATCAAGAAGGTGTTTGATTTGATTCTCGAGGTGGCTGTGAATAAGAATTTGGAGCCAGAGCAGATGATCAAGAAGGCGTTTGTGTTCAGTCACCAAGTCCTTAAAAAGGAGGATTATCCCTATGGTGACTGCTGCTCGAAGACGGATTATAAGCAATACAAAGGAAGTTTACAGAGAAAGGATATGGAGATGTGGTGCCACAATTAGTGTACTGGAACTTGGCAGATAAATACTTTCAGGATGACGGAAGGCCACTAATCCCTTATGAACCAGGGGTGACGATAGTGTGCAATTTTTCCATAAATTTGCTCAAAATTTTCATGGAAAATGATGGGAAATTGGCCCGGACCAGGTTATAGAAGCTACCATATCTGATGAAGAGTACCAGAAGCTGGCTGTAGTGGACTGATCTACTACATTTTGTAGGGTGATGGTACGAGGGAAGCCTAAACTTTTACAGTATTGTTTTCATTAACAATAGATTATGGTGAATTACAATCAGCTTTAACCTCGGTAAATTAAAATTCCATGTTCTTTGTTTAGCTGAATGAAAAAATTTTGTGTTCTATCATTTGAGAATTGCTTGTACGTGTTTATGTTTTGGCAGATTAAATTTTTTATGAATGTCTGGTAGACACAGTAACCTTGTAGGTTCTATAAGACCTCCCATGGAACAAACAGATGATCAGCAGTCACGCGCATGTTTCTGTCTTCAACTAGTGCAAATTCAGCGGTTTAATGTGATCATTAATAAATGGTTTTGACCGTAGGTATCGTTGTATTAACTTTCCGTGCGTTGGATTCTGTAAATAGAGTTGAACACTTCAATTTTAGTATGCAGACTAAACAAGAATTTGAACCATCATATAAGTTCTTCAGTACATTAATGTGACTGATTGAGCTATATCTGCAGAGATGCTAAAAGAGGTCCAAATTCTCTGGTTAAAAAAGGATTCTTATAGCAGATTGTGGTGGTGTTTATTTGGAAGATCCTTGGGGAAAATATGCAATTTGATTGCCTTTGATCTTTTTTTGGTCGAAAACTGCTTTGGATGTTGTTGTTCCTATTTTAGCCTGCATAACAAATATTAAAATTAACAGCTTCCTTTTGCTGGCGAAGTATAGCTGTGGCGAGGAGCTTAATTCTTAAAGGGAGAAGATGAACAACTCGTCACTCTAAGGAATTCATCAAAGAGATAAGAGTTAAATGATGAGAAGAAAATAAACTTCATTAAACCAAGTTTTGGTGTAATCAATTGGGATTTTGAGGAATTTTAATGAATTTATAATTCCATGGATTTCGATGTAGTTTAATTAATTTGCAAAGATTTCATGGGAAATTTTGATCCAATTCCCTCGAAATCTCAGAGAAGATGTGAGATTTGTAAATGCTTAAAATAACTACAAAATCTGATCAATTGTATCAAATTCCTCAACTTTCTAAAATTCTTTAAAATCAATTCCTAATTAAATAATTTTAATAAACTATTTTAAACTCCTCATTGAATACACTTTGAATTTCATAGAGTCACTTAAAAGAACAGAAGACTTGATTGCTACACATTTAGGGTTGGATATTCTAAATCTCTTTCCTTTTATTTAGATTGTTGAAACTAAGGTATTTATCCATGCCTACTTATAAGGTATTAAATTAATAACTAAATAAATATTATCAGAGGATGAGATCAGTGGACATGGCAAATATATGCTCTCAGTAAGATCAGTTATGGCTCCTTATGCAACTTCTGTTTGTCCCCCAGAGCTCAAACCATCCAGACACCCTTTTGTAGATCCCGATTTCATGAAGGCCACAGTCATGACAAGGATTAATATGATGAAACCTCTAAATCCAATCCCAGTTATGGGGTTGAGTACTAGGAATCGATCAGATTCGATGCAAGTACTAGCGGCCAAGACCTCCGAGCCCTCCTCCGTCGATGGAAGTTTTAGTAATGGTAAACCCTGCCTTGACCTATTTCTCCACAAGGACACTGCGGAGGCATGTGGTATGTGTATGGTGTATAGAGGAACTGCTGCCGCTGGCCTGGTCACACAATCCCCTAACCACGCTCAAGATCATTTGTCGAATAATACAGGACTTGTCCCATGGAAAATATTACAGTGACTGACGACCGTGATGTTTTGGCTCCATCAAAACCGCCCCAAAACCCTAGCGAGCAACATGGGGTCTATTGCCCGGTTGTTCGTGAATTTTTATCAATTTTTCAATCTTCTGAGTGCGCATCTAGTTTTGAAAGAGGAACGCCAGGTACATTATCGAGGAAGTAGCTTGATTATAATGGGAAAACAGGAGACATAGAAGACCAAGATGTGGAAGGCCAAGAATTGAAGCAAAAGGTCGTCCAGAGGTGCCAGAATGACCCGGATTATCGTTTCTTACACGAGTTTATTTCTGACCTTTTCGCCGAAAGCTTCAAGCCTAATATTGAAAAACT